TAATTAATTAGAGTTAGAGTTCATTGAAATCATAACAAGGTTTTTTTGATAAACTGGTGCGCAAATGTTTGATGGGATGATGTGAAATTCTGCTGGTTTTGATAAGTGTCATTGCTATTTTTCTAACTTTTCTATTCTTGTGAAATCAAAAGTGACTTTAACTGTGTGGTCTTAAAGGTATTGCACATGTTTATGGGTTAGTAGTATACATAGGCAATAGACTCAATAGGAAATTGGGTCTGTCCCAGTAAATTATCTTGGTCAAAAATCGTTTATTCCGGTATGATTTGGGCCCCTGAAACTTGAAACCTCCCGAGATAACCAACTCCATTTTTTTTCTCATTGATATAATAGTTCATTTTGTTTTTTTTAAGTAAATTTCAGTATCTTTATTGTGTTTCAGAGTTTCATTAGACCCTGACCTTTGTATGAAAAGACGTAAACTACATATTTTTTCACTTTTTATTTCGATGGAGACTTGAATGACCAAAGTAAGCACTTGTTGCTTCTTTTTTATTTTATCTATTATTTGGGGGGATTTTTACAGGATCTGTGAGGGCCTCAGAAAACCGAGTTTGAGTTCCCCCACTGGAAACAGAGCCAGCAAGAGCAGATATGTGCTGCTGCTCTCAGAGGGAAACCAGTGTCTGAACGGCAGTCAGAATCCTGACAATAGTTTTTCCAAGTTTCACAGAAAAAAACAAAACAAAAAATAAATAATAAATTGATCCTCTGGATTGAACAGTTGCCATCTACCAGACAAAAGCAGCCTTTTTCCCCGCTGAAAACTGCGACTCAGCAATTTCATATTGATCTTCTGAACAGAGCTGCCTGTGCTTTGCTTTTTCCACCTGCTGTCAAGCCATCAGACAAATGTATCCGTTTGCACAGATTTACATCATTTTAGGCCGTCTTCCTGCCGCTTATTTTAGACCGGGAAAAAAAACAAAAAAAACTTCAAATCACAGAAACAAAGGTTACTCTTTAGAGGAAACTAAAGTGACACTTCCGTTGCAGTAGTTTATGTTCCAAGTGGTATCCCTGTCAATGCACATATTTCACCATCTGCCTTCAACTGGCTGCTTTTATTCCTTTTGCACACCTGGCAAGTTCAGCTGTCAACGTGTAACAGAAATGTCATAAATGCTAGCTGCAACTTCTTTAATCTCATGTGTGTTCAGACGCAGAAGCAAGCAAATATTGGCTTTGCTTTGTGTACATTTGGCCTGCCTGGGTACGGGTAGTCTCTATCGGCTCCCACCAAATGACCAAGTGTTCCAACATGGCTAGCAGATAGCCGGCATGTGTGTTTCCCATTTCGGAAAGAGATTTTAAAGCCAATAGTAACGCATTCATCTTATGTGATAGCACCTACTGTATGTCTTAAACCTATGTCTGGCTTGGAGACTTTGCTCAGTGCAACTTAACAGTACCAGATGAAATACAGCATATAAGGATAAAAAAGGTTTATTCATACAGAGGCTGACATGCTGTCTGTGACTCAAATGAACACGCAACTGATTTGAAAATGCAAGAATTGGTTTTATTTGCCATAACTGGGATGGAAACTGGAAGGATCTGATTTGAAGTCATCAGCTTGTCAAGTATTATATTTGACTTCCAGGCATATTGGAACCCCATGGACCCGTTACTTTCCTTTAATTTGTAACTTTTAGCCCCACCAAAGTGCGTTCCCACAGTCCAAAAGCGTAGTTTACCTTGCAGAAGGAAGCGACTGGAGCCTGTGTGGTAAAGTCCGTTTTTCTTCTTCTTTTACCCGTCCGCTTCTCCTTTCCATCAGATTTGACTTTGACTGGCTGCAGATACATTACATTTCAGCCAAAAAAGCAAAACAGAAAGAAGGAAAAGTTATAAAAGGCAATTTTCACAACATGTTGCTCCTGTCCCCACGGGCATCACGGCTGACGTACCTCCTACATGTACTTCAAAGTTACTGTCTCTTGCGGTTAGTCACACACGCTTATACTTAGCCATGCATTTGATGATATTGTGCTTTTGTCATGTAGTTTTTTTATGCCTTTCTCTAACCATCCTTGACTGAGAGTGAATTTAAAGTTTTTTGGGGACCATATTGAGTCTGATTTATTTTGAATTTGGTTCTCTGATGTGAAAGTCTGCCATTTAATGTTGTTTTATGAACAACGAACTACTGAAATTTGACATTACCTGTGATTTAATCTGAAGGATAATGCCTTAAACGGGAAAACTATTTAAATACATTCACTTTCTCTTTTGAGAATTCATCCTAGCTATGACCAAACAGGAATGTTTTCTTCATAACTCAGTTCGGTTCCATTTACCAACCACTGTTTTAGTCTGATTCAATTAATTTAATGCACAGACTGCAACACTTGTCACTAATGACAGTGGACAACAAAGAAAGTACCTTTACAGTTTTACAGTCATGGAAAAGTTGTATGATTTTGCCTTCACACATATAGCTAAATTTATAATGTTAGTGCAGTTTAGATGACCTGTCAAAGAGAGACAAGACCCTTCTTAAGGTTGAAGAACAAGCATAAAAACGGAGTATGTACAAGCTCTTTCATTCAGACACTTTACATCTGTGCATCACTCTGACAGCCATCAGCTTCTGATCCTTATGACCGCTAGTTCTCCACCTCCCAACATGACAACAGAGGGGATCTGCTGGTCGAGTTAGCCTTCTCCCAAAACACGGCACCATGGCCGCTGACCAGAACATGGCTGAGTGAATAGATGAAAAGCCATGTCCATGTCTGAAGCTGCTGTCAGTGACAGCTGCTCCGCGGCCCCACTCTTTTTGTCCACAGTGACCCTTCTTTCCCCCTTTTTTGTCCTCTTTTTATTTGACTTGTACGAGTATGTTTGATTTATCGGGTCCAAACCCCCCCCCCCTTAGTTACATATTATAAAAAAACATTTCAAATTTGTGTCAACTTTTTGAGAAAATAGAAACGACAGGGGTATCGCCACAGTCGTGTTTCATGTTGTTTTCCCTTTTCTTTTTCAAAATGCATACTCCAAAACCTTTCTTGTAGAGATGCTGAGAGACCAGCTGCCTGAGCCGCTCTGTCAAATATCTTGAGGGCAGTTGCTGATTGAGGGCTCTTAAGCTTTGGCAGGGGCTGTTTTAGTGTAGTGGATGGAGTATTGCTCACACTTTTTGTGTCCATTTTAGGCTGTGCACAGCCCTTTGAATGGAAGACATTTTACTCTCAGGGAGAGAGAGATGTGCACAAGTCTTAAAACACGGGTCTCAGGGTTTGAGTTTTGTACTTACCTTTTGTTCTGATTGAAACACCGTGTTTCTGACTTTGGTGTTTTTTTTTAGCGAGGCGGGACAAAAAACGGGAACAGAAAAAGACGTACAAACATTCCGAAATGCTTTTTCTCGCTGCACATAATTCAAAATTTAAATGCTCAATCTCTCTGTGCTGCATTTCCAGTGAAAGGACAGACATGAATCAGCAAGTTGTTTAAGGGGCCTTTCAGACTTTTTTTTTCTTCACCCTTCTCCCTGATTACACAACAAACAAGCAGACAGAAAGCTAACAGGCCGGTCCCCAGAGAACCGTCGGCATACAAAGCGACGGGAAGTGTCAGCAGTGATTTCAGAAGGGGTCGTGCTCAGTCCCAAACCCTCCTCTCAATCCCCGGGAGTGCCTTTGTGCTGCCCTGCCATGTGGCACCGTGCTGCACTCTGTTTTATCCTCACCTTGAGGGAAAGAAAGGAAAAAAAAAAATACCCGGAAAATCTTTACATCTTTACAAGTTAAGCAGCTAATACGCTCAGTGAAGGAAAAAAAAAAAATCAAGGCTTCAGGTAGCACCTACAATTGAGCAGTGACTGTTTAAAAATAGGCCAGATTGATGAGAGATAAAGGTTTTTTTAACAGACCATTCTCCGGATAGGAAATCCTAACTATAAATAATTTATGTCCCGCTCGGGAATGATGAGATTCAGAGATGTAGAGCTTCTCTTTGGTCTTACAGGCAGAGAGTTTGAAACAAAGCCAAACTGTTGCCTGAGAGAGACCGCATGGGGTGCTTGACCCCTTGGCCTGGACTTGCATGCTTTGTGGACCGCCTGGCTTTGTCCTTCATGTTCACGGCATTCACTGGAAACAAAACGGCCACGGATGGCTTCCTCCAGATTAAATGTTGACTCTCTCCAGGAGTGACAGTTTACCTGGGCTTTACTTTGACAGCAGGAGATGGTGAATAAACATGGTTAGATCTATAAGAGGGGGCTACATATGCAGGCTTAGGCTCGAGGACACAGCCAATTGCAAGTATCGTGCCCCAGTGTGACATCCATCAGCGAGCTGATGGATTCCATTAATAAAAAGACCTTTCGCGTTGTATCTGCTGTTCGGCGTGTACTCCGTCAGCACCAACAGTATAATATTGACCTAATCATTCTCCATCCCTGCTGCAGCAGCTCGGAACCTGAAATAACACCCTAATTTATCCCATAATGAGATGTTGACATTTACAGATAAATTGAAAGTAGAGTTTCAACAGTAATGTTGTACAAGTGCGCTGTAATATAAATAAAATGAAGTTCGATAGGCTATTGTCGAGGCAGCAATAAACAAGTGAGGCCAGTATTTTATTGAAAAGAGCTGCATGACGTGTGTGTAGACTTAATCCCGATGATGGACAATAGTTAAACTTCCCCAATATGATTTTTTCCATATAAACTTTGCATTTGCGTTTTTCGTTTTTTTTTGCTGCAAAGCTTCAGGTTAGTTATGGAAGGATATTAAAAGTCTCCTGGCATCTGAGAAAGTTGTGGCAAACCATCAGACCGCTGAGGAAGAGAGGGAGCAGGCTGCTGCACTGTCTTCTTTCATTAGCTAGCTCCTGACCGCAGCTACAGTTTGTGAAAGAGAAGAATTCCTGAAGCAAAATGTCACATGTCCGAGAGCCATATCCGCCGGCGGGCTTGTTATGAACAGAGTTCACAAAGAAGCATAAAAAAAGCAAACAGAGACATGATGCTGGGTGGAGGAGGAATGGACCCCGATGCACAACGGGTTGTGTCTGTTGTCTGTTTGCTGGCTGTTATTGGTGGCATGTCTCCTCAGCGTCACATCAGGTTCCTGAAAGAAACAGACAGGCCTGATTAGGACATTCCAGCTGACGAATGACTACAGACAAGTGGTGGCAGTCTGCTAGAACCGGGATACATGACCTGAATCCCAATTCTCCTTTTAGTTCTAGCTGAATACATGATCACATGATTATTTCTAAAGTTGGCATGATGAGCCTAAATATAAGAACAAAGGTAATGCACCACTTAACATATTGAATACACACCAATATTTGATCAGGTGCATTTAGTTCCAGCTAGTATTGGCGCACAATGTAATTTAATTTGATATAGCCTCACAAATGAGTAGATAAATCCAAGTCCAAGGAGTTCCTAATTTTTTACTAGATATTTATGACAAACATACAGCATTAACTTTAATACACATTTGAATTAATTAAGTGTGGTGAATAGGATGGGAGCAAATAGATCATAATATCTGATTCTGACATTCTGGGTCAGGGTTGTTTGATTTTGTCGAATTGTTGGACACCTTTACAGCATTGTATCCATCCAAACTCATGCAAGATGTAGCCTTGCTACTGGTTAAGACCAGGCATTTAAACCAATTAATGTCCTTTCAAAAAGTGGAGCCAAGGCTGCAGAGGCTGAAATATTATCCTGTTCTGAAATCTTAACAAGAAAGTCTCAAGTAGGGTTTTAATGAATTTACAGAGAGTGGGTCTCTTATGTGTAAAGGAGCCAGTGCTGGATTCATATTTGTCATAAAAACTATTTGTATCCAAATTGTCATAAAGGATTCATGAATAGGAAACAGCACAGGTCGTTTACAGTTGGATATCGTTGCTTTCCACTGGATTCCTGTCACTCAGAAAATAGACTTTAAAACAGCTCTGCTTGTGTACAAGTCTCTTCATGGGAAAGCACTATAATACCTTTCCGACATGTTAGAGCCATATGAACCAGCATGGACTTTGAGAACCTCAGGTTCTGGTCTCCTGATGGTGCCCAAAGTCAGAACTAAACAAGATGAAGGTTCATTTCAGCTCCATGCTCCTAAAATCTGGAACAGTCTTCAGGCCTCAACTCTGACAATGTTTAAATCCAGTTCTGTTTAACTGTGCATATGGAAATTGAATGTATTTTATCTGCACCCTTCACTTTTTATCTGTCTATTTTTTATTATTTGTATTTTCTTGTTTTTCTGCTCTTAAATTCTTTGTGAAGCACTTTAAATTGCATCTACAAATGCTTTATTTCTGCTGACCATCTGGAGCCTTTATTTTTGTCCTGGGTTTCTTACACTCAATGGATTGTTAACCTGTTTTGTTGCCTGTCTATTACACTAACCCCGGGAATAAAGAGATTGCCGCACAGAGAAGTGGAGCTGCGTTTGCTTCGGCAGATGCATTAAATTAGGCTGCTCCTTCCTCGTTTTATTGATTGGGTGGCTGCGAGATTTGGAACATGTAAATTGAGAGCAACAGTGAAGTGCAGATGTTAGAGCCTCGATGGGAGCCTTGCTCTGTAAACTTCTAACACTAAATGTGGAAAACGAAGAAAAAAGACGTGACCCTTCAACACGCGCTCTCTGCTCCGCTGCTGTTCTGTCATGTTTGATGTGATAAAGTGAAGGCAGAAATGTGCACTCTGCTAAGTGCTGACAGCTAAAAATTGTCTGTCTGCCCATCTTTCAATACCAACAACCGCCTTCCCCTTAGATATACTGTCATGGGCCGTCAAGACAGCTCACACTTCAAATAGGATTATTCAAGGTTGGATACTTGTCACGATAATTTTCATTTCTTTCTTCAAATTTATTCGAGGACCTTATTTGTTCGAGTCTTGCTTTGGAACGGGTCTTGAGGTCGTCTTTTAAGTCATGACTCGCTCTTCTGAGATTTAATCTCTGTCATCAGCAGAGCATTGTTGTACTTACTACAAAGACTCATTATGAAAATGTCACCTTATTATGCGTGTGCAGAGTTTCTCTCTCAGGCTTCTAGATCAGAACAAGTCCTATTAATAATCCTGCTTATTCCAGCCACTGCAAAGCACAGGAGTTCACTTTCAAAATGGCAGCCCACATGACTGCAGACAGGCATGGTTTGTTTTAGATGTACTGATCTCTTGACATTTGCTGCGCCAGTGGATTTAAAGTGAAGTTCTTTACCGTCCTTTCATAATTACCAGTGCCTATAACTGGTTTTAAAAAAATGACAGAATAAAATGCAAATTAACCGATTTCAGTATCAACCAGAAAATAATTCGAGGGAAGCTGCAAAGTGACAAACAAGGTGTCCTTTTGATGAATTTCAATTATCCAAAAATGTGCTCTTTTATAAATTAATTATATTTTTTCACTGTATAAGATAATTCATGAGGATCACATGCATCACAAGATAGAAAAAAGACCACAGGTGCAGCAACTATCGACACAAAGAAAAATTCACCAAAGATCTTAAAGTCCCTATTTTAAAGGAAGATAAAAACACAACAATGAAGCAGTAATTGGCCAGGAAGATCTTCTGAGCTAACTGAAATCTTTAGGAGGCTGTAGAAACCTGCCATAGTTGGAGGAATTGCTGTGAATATTCACACTGCACATTTTGAAGAATTTACACGAAGCCTACAACTGTTGCTCAAACCCTAAAAGAGAGATATATTTTTTACAGAACGTTTACAAATTTGTTTAAAAAAAAGAACAGAGTTAGCTACAATGAACAAGTGGAGTAAACTAATATTTCTCATGTGCAAAATGCTTAGCTAGGATGTTTTTGTTACCCTTTTTTTAATTAATTTTCCATCATTTGGATCTGGGGATCAAATGAGTTTTATGATTCCAGAAAGCTTTCATTTCTGCTCGCATCCTGAAATACTCGAAATGAGGAGATGCAAATGAAATTTCATCTAACTGGAGTGTATTTTAAAGGATCAATCTGAGAACACGCCATACGAGGCATGACCTCAGCTCTAGCTGGGACCCTCATGCTGGTGGACAAGCTTAACTCTGCACTCTTGCTTTTAATGGCAATAAGAAGGGCCTGTTGAACAAGATGCCAGCATGCTCTCACCGGTGATTTCTATATCTGAAATAAAATAGAATAGAACACTTTATTAATCCCGCAGTGGGGGAAATTTGATTTAATTCTAATTAAAATGTTAATTTAACTATTTCATGACCACTGGTGCTGGCAAAAGAGATCCCAAAAGCAAAACAACGAGGCAGGTAGAGTTGCGAGGGAAAATCTGTTTACTTTGTCAAAAAACAGGCAAAACAGTCAAAACCAGGAGATCAGAAAAAGGCAAGAAAGTTTGACAAGGGGCAAGCAAGAATCCAAAGTCTGATCAGGTCAGAACACAAAGGAAGAACAGGAAAATTACAGAAAGCTTGGCACTGAACAACACGAAACAATCTGGCAAGGATCAAGTGGAAATGGACTAGTATAAATACTGAGGAACAAATTAGCAAATGAACTGCAGGTAAGGAGATGGGCGGGGAAAACCAGGTGAGGGGAGTGAGTGGTAGCATGGCAGGGAAGAAGGGCAGGGTCTGAAATGAGTGAGGAAAATAAAAACAAACTCAGTTAGTGTAACTATGTTAAAAAATAATCAAAATTACATTTTGACAAAGCCTCACCTGAACGGTTTCCAGCTCAATGTTGTACGCTTAATTAGTCTTACAAAAGAATGTGTTTTCCTGGGAAAACCTTCTCATCAACAATAGATATCTTACCATAAAACATGAAAAATACAAGTGAGTTGGGCGCATCATTGTTTGTAGAATTGTACATTTTAGATGAGCCTGTTTTTGTGAGTAAGTTTAATGGAAAATCACTAATTTAATTTTAAAATGACCATTACATTAGTAATACTGCCATTACAATAAGTGGTTGCATTTCATTTGATTATTCGTGGCAAAATGCAAATCATGATGGGTTGCACAAAACAGAATAAATTATGCATAAATGTCTGTTTTGATCTTTTGATCTGATTTGAATGTTTGTCCAATAAACATTATGTATTTGCTGTTCTGCTTAGTACGTATTAGAACTGGCATCAGAATGAGAATTTACATGGCGTGACTGTTAAATAGTTTATAATGCATTTTAACTTTTAAACGCATCTGGTAATAAGAAATGCTTTGGATCACGTGAATGACGAACAATGCAATAAAACACAACATCATTTAAATTCCAAGCTGGTTCGATCAATGAACTTAAGCTTGTTATCTCTGAATGGGTAAAGTGAAGTATCAACCTCTCTGGTATAATCAGAATTTAATCAGTGCTGGTGCAACATTCCTCTGAGACAGATGCCCTCAAGCCATCCTTTATTAAGCCTGGCTTCACCACTGAAATATTAAAGACATTTGGCTCAACAGATTATTAAGTGTTTTTCATGTCATGGCCGACTTCTGTTTTCTTTTCTTTCAACAGCTGCACTCCGATGTGGACAAAGGGGACGGGAAAGTGAAATACGTGTTGTCCGGTGAGGGCGCCACCTCCATTTTCACCATCGACGAGAACACCGGAGACATCCACGCCACGAAGCGGCTGGACCGAGAGGCCCAGGCCTACTACACGCTCCAAGCTCAAGCCGTTGACCGAATCACCAACTTACCCGTGGAGCCCAAGTCAGAGTTCGTGGTCAAAGTGCAGGATATCAATGACAACGAACCCAAGTTTCTGGATGGACCATACCTGGCAGGGGTGCCAGAGATGTCCCCCCTGGGTGAGCCAATTTACAATTTGTTTTTTTTTTTTTTTTTGGTTATATGAGTCCAGTATGTCCACTGTGTCCAGCTGAAAAATCGCTTTAAACTACATTGAACTCTGTTTGTGCGTGGGTTCAACAAGAAACAAGGTCATGGGTAAACCGCCTTAATTGGGGCTTCATTTTTGCCGGAAGATGCAGTTTTCTATTGCATCAATAGAAAAAAAAAAAAAACGTGGTCATCTTTGCTTTTAAGTTATTGCTCTTGAATCCCTTCGCTTTGAGTCCTGAAATTATGTGGTCCCCTTGGAGATTTTCCCAAGGCTAATAAAATGTATTTATATTATTCTTTCTGTAATAAAAGCTATTGCACAAGAGACCTCAGCAGTAAAATAAAAGAAATTGAGAATAAAAAAAAAAATGAAAATGTCAGTAAAGATTAAAACTGAAATGAAACAAATTAGCAATTCTAACAATGGCTAAGTGATCAATTTTCATGTACTTCCACATTTTCCGTATGAAATTCATTTTTTAGACTCAAACTTCAACCTGTAATCTAAATGTGCATCTGAGAATTTTACAGTTTAGTTTTACTCTATTCAGACTCGGACTTTGCTTTCATACAACGTAAAACTGGATTGGAACATTTAATTTCTATAAATTCAGTGTCTCTTATAAACCCTACCATTTGCAGTCAAACATGGATGCTGGTTTTACAAAATCAATTGGCTTTATTGCCTCTGTTGCCACAGAATATTATCAGTGGTGCCCCACCTTTAACCCTTTACCCACCTCTGTGGGCACATCATTCCTACTTTGAGTGTAGAGTTTTATATTGGTGAGTTTGTGAATCGGTTAATCTTACCATTGTTAGCATTGGCTGAGTTTACAAAGTCTTCCTTCCATCACATTTAAATCAATCTTGTTAGAGATTCTGAGCAATGTGTCAACACATATTAATAAGAATATTGTAATGTGTGCTTTTCTTCAAAGCATCTTTGATCAGAATGTGTTTTTTTTTTACAGAAATAAAATTGTTGTACTTGTTAATACATGGGAAATATAACAAAGTAAGAGAAAAAGAAAAACTAATTTGATGAAGCCATATTCAATATTTTAAATAGCTTAGCTGAAACTTGAAAGGGGCTCGTTCAGTTTTTCCTCTCAATTTATTTCATATGACTTTGAATGTTGTTGTAACTTTTAAACTGTTTTCGTGAGGTCAGTTTAAGGCAAGGTCCAGCTTTGTTAGACTTTTTCAATCTGTCAGATGATTCAGCAAGGTTTGTTTTGTTGTGCTTTTATCCTGTTTGAACTCTCGGTTGAAATGCAGTCAAATAATGCCATCCACTTGCGGTTTAAAAGAATAAAGATCACATTGGTCTCAGTTATTGGAAAATACACATCTGATCAGTTCACAATGAGTCCTCAAAAAAAATTGGATTTCATTCATGTACATTTCAGTTTGACACATTGTTCCTGAATGGCTGATATGGGATGGTGGCAACAACTGAACCTGTTTTTTTTCTTTGCCTCTTGAGTTTTTCTGATGTTTTCTGAGTTCTTAAGTCTTCGGGAAATAAGATGAGGCAGAAAAAGACAGCAATGCCCTTTGGCAGTTCCAATCCAATGAAAAGGATCAGATGTGTTAATTCTGAGTTTGAAGCCCACAAAGATTGCCCCTGTGGCAGACTTACTTACTTATTGGCTTACATCTGTCACACCTTGATTACATTGATAAAACTCTCTTTTTGGGCTCTGCGTTACCTTTAAAGCATCCGCCTTTGTGTAAATACACGGGCAAGGGAAAACGCTTTAACCTGTAACACATCAGATTAAGAAATGCTGACTGTGTGGGTGTGTGAACAGGTGAATGTGGCTTTCGGTATAAGAGTGCTTGAAATGTTTTACTAGAAAACTAGAAAGACAAATAGAATAGGATTGTGCGTCACATTGCTGAGTGCCCTTTCTTTAGTGTAGAGGCAGGGAATCCAACTTTAAAATTTAACCAGAATCAACATCTGTTCATTATTTTGGATTATAATCTTTTCTAGTGGTGAGTTCTCAGTGGACCACTGGGAAGTGTTGAAGTGTTGCTTGTTTACATGTGCATTTTTGCGTTTTTTTATTCTTTATTCCACACTAAAGCTCTTATTGGCTGCATTAGGACTGTAATTCACCAAACAAATGCCACGAAGAAGCAGCAGTGGCATACCTTCCCACTATGCTTCCTCATGTGGGCAGCGTAGGAAAATAAGAATTAAACTGCTTTTGAACACACTGTAAAAGCAACCTAAAACTGCCGACTCTAGTACATACTGTATGAGGAACCAACACTGGCATGCAAAATGTGGCCAGAGTCTATAAATTATTCAGAGTGAAAAAAAAAAGATGTAACAAAACAAATTTTGAATGAAGGTCAATATTAGTTCAGTTTTTATTATCTAACATGGTTCTTGCTCACTTACAAGCTGATTTATTACGTCTACTTTTACAGCAAACTACATTACTATTAAAACACTGACAACGTGGACCGATTTGTACGCTTTTAAGTTTTATTCATTGAAAAATAACGCAGTCAGAGTTAATTCTCTGCGCTAAACAAATGGAGTGATCGCACCATACAATGGCTATTTTACACAATCATGTGAAAAGGGCTTAGTTTTGGTCTGACAGAGGCATGATGGCGTGTAACACAATGAAACGGCAAAAGTGATAGAGATTTTTGAGTATTATAGATGCTCTAGATTGCCAGTTATGGGCCTAATGTGCAAGAACAAATGCATCTGATCCCAGTGAAGAGAAAAGTTGTGATGAAGGGTAATTATTTATGTCACATATCAGAAATTTGGGCAACCCAGCAGCAGCTATGCAGCAGTTTTGCTCGTGGTGGATGCATATAGAGTAACAACAACCCTCAGTTTTTCTACTGAATTGTTAGTTATCGTTTCACGTCTTATATCTTCTGAAAGTTGGAATTTAGGATAGGCTGCTTCTAGCTATCATGCAAGCTAGAAGCACCTTTAGGCTTTCTAGTTTTTCTGCAGACTTGCCAGCTCATATTCTGCAGGTCCCAATGGCATCTGTTTTTGTAGATATTCCCTTTTATCTGTTCATTTCAAAACTACTCCTCAATAACTGAATGGTCAAGATAACTTCCAAGGTTTTGAACCGGTTCTCCTAATGTTCAAAATGCAAATGAGGGACCACAACATCCTCAGGCCCTTGAACTTGGTAGGTGTATGAGTAATAAAACAGGCAGAGAGGGACCTCCATGATGATAAGCTATGGTCAGAAGTATGCATTTTTTAAGCTATGATATTTGACCAGTTTACTAAAGCTTGGTCTTGGATCTAATTTAAAACAGAAAATGTGCTCTGATTGGTGGAATGATGACCAAGGGACCTAGCCGTGCCGAATCCCCTCTTTGGTTTATGTTATTGCAAACCACAATCAAGTGGAGCTTCAGACTTAAATTTGAGAAAATCAGAGGTTTGTTATCTCACAATTTGCTAGCTGAAGCTAAATTTAATTCACACGCGACGACACGTAAACAAACAATAAGACACAATACAGGAAAGAAGATAAAATGAGGTGGAAATGAATAATCAAATGAGAAAAAATAATTACTTTTTGAGACATTTGTTTCAATACACACTTTGTCGTTCGTGTAAAAATGAATCATAACACATTGAGTTTATTGTTAAGGAAAAAAACCTAATGCTGATTTATAAAATGGTGATTCGGGTTGTTTTTTTAAGCAGATCCGGCTCTTTTTATTGTGATGTGAGGTTTGATGTGCTGTGATTTGCATGTTTATCTTCTCAAATATGCCATCGTGGACCTCCGGCCCAAAAATGCTGATGAGTGATGCATGTTTAAAAAATAACTCAAGCAAACTAATGTCTGAATCAGGCTCGAAGCCCCACAGGCATTTTTCCACAAATTGGTGTTCACACTGGCCAGTGCTTTCAGGTACCTGCCTGCTCCAAATGTCTGATCCGAATGAACACATTTCCATCCATCCATTATCCTGCCACCTCACAGTGGTAACACAGTCAGCAAAGGGGCTCAGGCATCCTTAACTTCCTCCCGCTCCTCCGGGGGGTGCCCTAGGCACTCCAAGGCATGCTGGGAGCTCTTGTCTAAGCGTGAGTGAGTTATGACTGGCAATGTGGAGGAGTGAAATACCCTGGACACTCAGAGACAGACACTTTTCTGTTGTGATTACCAATAAATTAAGAGAAATTGTCAGTTAAGCTTCAATCACACTTGTAAACTTAATGTGAACAAGACAAAATGATTTGGCTAAATCCATGGTCACCTCTGGACCATATAAAGCGTCTGGTAGCAGAGTCTTTAAGGTAAACTGAAAAAGGTAGTTATTGACATTCTGGAGCTGAGGGAGTAAAACTGGCCTCCAGTAAAAGGAGTTGGAGTGTGAGTGCTGTTTGAAAGCTTTCAGTGAAACACTGTCAGAACTGGAAGTGAGAGCTGTTTGTAGTGAAGTGGTAACTCGGGCCAAGACGAGGGGGTAAGCTCTGCCCACCCAGCCAAGCCTCACTGTAACAAGAATAAGACAGATTTAGATTAAAATGTGAGAGGTCGACAGCATTCGTTCTCAGATTGTCGACAGTAACACATGCCTCTGTCACAATTTTGGACAAAAACATCAGTAAAAGATTGGACACGTGTCGGATTTATTTGTCACTTCACCCAGGGCTACATTCACAGTGGTCTGAGCCTTTATAGGATCCTGTTTAGTGGCAGGACTCTCCCTAAGTGGCTGCTTCAATTGTTAAAAAAATCTTTCTGGAGACTCGTAGTAAAAAAATCTTCTGTCCACTTAAAAAACTACATCAAAACGCTTTACTTGTTTTTTGGGCTCTTAACAGACTCCTAAACAAAAATGAAATAAAATAAATCAATCACATGTAGACGTAAACTTACATTTTCTAAAATGAATTAAATAGGATAATATAATGAGAGGGTTTCTCGGGCTTGAGGATGCAGAGCAA